TCTTATCACTAGTGATTGGAGCTGCATTGAGAAGAGTCTGCATAAACAAACAGAGAGAAGGGAGATGGCTCTTCTCTGCCATTAATTTCTCTCATATACTCCTAGGCACTTTCTCACAGCTTATCACTCCTGGAAGCACAGACATTCTTTTCTTTATCCAGTCACTTCTCTATAACCTATTAGCCTTTGCTAAAATAGTTCATAATTTCTCAAGTCTAAACATTTATTTGAGTTTTCTACTTATTTTTGTGAAGCTCCTGGCCACATAAAAATATAAACATCACTAAAACTTGTATACTTTTTCTTTTGTTAATTTGTGTTTTCTCAGTTTAACTTGCAGCCACCTGGAATCAAACTTAAGAGTGTATGGGACAAATGTTTCCTCCTCTCTAATCCCAGGTGTGGAGTTGGTCAGTGGAAGGGCAGGATGTGGGCCAGCAGCCTTCATGCCCATCTCCAGGAGAAGTTCTTGCATTTGTTCAGCTCTTGAAAGTGACTCACCTGCTTCAGCAGCCTCAGCTGCTGTGCCTGACAAAGGGCAAAAGACAGAAAAACCAACCACACAAAGATCCCTCATCTTGACTTTCAAGTGGCCTTATGTGGCTATGCAATGTCAATCCTCAGGGGTGAAATCCATGCTGGTTTATCTGCCAAGCTACCAGGGCCAGTGGTGATGGTGAGCAATGAGGCACTGAATTTCTTCTCCTGAAACACAAAGGGTCCGTTCAGCACACTCGCAGTCACAGTACAAAAAGCTATTCTGTATTAGATGAGCAAAGGAAACTGAAGTGCAAAGACGATTTCAGCTTCAAGTCCTTTTACCTGTGGAAAAGCGAAACCAAAGGGAAGCCCACAGGTAGGACAGAGCGAGCGCTCCTGAAGTTGCAGCGTGTTTTAAACTTCAGTTCTGATTCACAGGTTTGCAGCGGGGCCTGGAATCCATCCTTTAACAAGCTCCTGCAGGAGGGGTTCTGAGGCAGAGTGTTGGAGGGCTGCCCATATTCTGGGAAACACTGGACGGTGTCTGCCAAGATTCAATAGCAGACACTCTTACAATTATCAGGAGACATGGGCTGTGCCAGATAGTAAAATAAGAATAAATATAATCACATTTTCCAGGGTTTGGCCCAATCAGACTTTGCTTGGCTCACATAAATCCCAGCACATAGGTATTTGCAAACAATAAACATATGTTTAGCATTCTAAACTACACTTTCAAATAAAACATGAAGAAAGTCATGATTTATGCAATTAGCAAGCCCAAAATTAACACTGAAGACAATTAACAATAATTAACACATCATTTTTGCTATGCAATACTAATTTTAAAATACCTTTCCCAACTCAAGGGATCAGGCAGTTGCTTAAACTTTTCTAGAAGGCCTGACTTATACTAGTAGAACTAATGGAATAGTTAATTTCAAATAGCATCCATGACCATCTTCCTTTTTTGGAAACTGGACCTTCAGATCTTATAAGTGTTTGATAATCACAAAAAGCAAAAACAGCCAGGTGTGGTGGCTCTTGCCTGTAATCCCAGCACTTTGGAGGTGGAGGCGGGTGGATCATGAGGTCAGGAGATTGAGATCATCCTGGCTACCATGGTAAAACCACATCTCTACTAAAAACACACACAAAATTAGCCAGGAGTGGTGGCACACACCTGTATTTTCAGCTACTTGGGAGGCTGAGGCAGGAGAATCACTTGAACCCGGGAGGCAGAGGTTGCAGTGAGCCAAGATCATGCCACTGCACTCCAGCCTGGTAACAGAGTGAAACTTGGTCTCAAAAAATAAATAATTAAAGAGCAAAGACAACTGCGATGTGCAGACAGACCGTACCATAGAGCAAAATTGTTCTCTGTGAAACTTTATTCAATGGAAACTTTGTATGAAAAAAATTGCCCCTTAAAAAAAAAATCCCTCAAAGACTTTCTGTGGAAGCCCCTGGTATTTGTATTGGGAAATACCATCCAGGTGAAACATACATTTAAAATTTTTTGGCTCATTAATTGAAAAAAAAGATTGCTGAGCACCTACTTTGTTCCAGGTACTCATCTCAGAATTGGCCTGGCACTATTCTTAGAGCAACTGTCAGTGAACATAATCTATACTGATTATATATTACATACTTCCCTATTGACTAGTAGAACTAATGGAATAGTTAATTTCAAAAGACATGATTTTCCTGGGCATCGTTTTAGCAGAAGTTCTGCTCCCTTTCTTTCATGCATAGACAACGTGTTTTCTCCTAATGCAGAGGGGCAGGGATGCTTTTTGTGCGCCCCATGAGTGGCCAGGCCAAAATTGCTTTCTCTTTGTACATGAACTCAAGGGCCAAAATTATTTTTAGCAACACTAGGACAGGCGGCAAACGTGTTCTTGTGCCCTCTTTTCTGCCACTAGAACGTTCAGGCCACTAGAAAGTTGCCCCGTAAGTTGTATACCTTACATAAGGAGGCACTGGAGAGAGACCCAAAAATTCCCAATTAAAAAACACGCAAATGGCTCATGCTTGTAATCTCAGCACTTTGGGAGGACAAGGCAGGAGGATCGCATGAACCCAGGAGGTCGAGGCTGCAGTAAGCTGTGGTGGCACCATTGCACTCAGCCTGGGCAATAGAGGAAGACTCTGTCTTAATTACAACAAAACATGCATCAGTGTGTTTCAATGTCTTTCTTCATTTATCAGAATCCATGCTGTTTTCATTTACATTAGATGCTTGAGACAGTTTTCAAGGGAAATATTATTTTCAAAGTCTGAAATCCAAAATTGCTTTTAAGGTGAATAAAAGGACTTTTTAAAAGATGGAAATAATTTTATTTCTGTGATGATCGCTGAGTCTAAATTCTTCATTCTCTATGAGGAAATCATCTAAGACTTAAATAGAAGTGAAAAATATACATATTTTAAAGTCTGTGATTAAGGGGAAATATTTCCTGAGATGAGAACTGGATGTAGGCTGGGCACACTGGCTCACACCTGTAATCCCAGCGCTTTGGGAGGCCAAGGTGGGTGTATCGCCTGAGGTCATGATTTCGAGACCAGCCAGGCCAACATGGTGAAACCCCATCTCTATTAAAAATACCAAAATTAGCCGGGCGTGGTGGTGGGTGCCTGTAATTACAGAGACTGAAGCAGGTGAATTGCTTGAACACAGGAGGCAGAGATTACAGTGGACCAAGATCGTACCACTGCACTCCAACTTGGGCGACAGAGTGAGACTCTGTCTCAAAAAAAAAGAACCGGATATAAATGGAAATATGTTAATGACAAATAACCGAATAGGAAATTTTATCAAAGAAATACAATCTTCTAAAACATAACCAAATGATTGCATTCTAGAACTAAAACTATACTATATCAGAAATATAAAATTCACTGGATGGGCTTACAGCAGAATAAAAATGGCAAAAACAAAAAAGTCAGTGAACTTGAAGATAAAAATATAGAACTTATTCAATTTGAAGAACACATAGAGAAAGGATTAGAAAACAATAATGAGACATATTTGGACCAAATGAATGCCTTTCAGAGGGAAAAAGGAGCCAGAGGAATAGGAATGGGAGGGAGACTTACTTCTCATGTGTTCCCCGTTATGTTTTTTTTTCAATTTTAAAACAATCTCTTCATTTTTAATTTCTTAAAAAGCACATTTATAGCACACTCCAAGAATACCACACAGCAGTGGTTTGCTGCCCTTTGTCAGGATATGTCAGAAAACAAAACAAAACAAAGTCCTAAATGCTAATGGTTTAAAAATTCGTTCTTTGAAATTTCTGTAAAGCCAGTATCAGCAGTCATCTAAATCTTTATTTTGGAATAGTAAACCTTTCAAAAAGGTAATGAGCATCTACCCAAAATCACACTTCACTGAAATGCAATTAAAATCTATCCAACAACAACAAAAAATAAATATTATTTTCTGGAAAGAACATATTTGGCATTTTAACATAATGTTAAAAACAGCTTTCAAATGTGAAGGATGTCTAGATTTTTACTTTCTATTCCCAGACAGAAGGTTTGGATTTAGTGGTTCCAATCTGATTTCAGTAATAGGAGGAGTGATTACACTGAAGCTAATGAACCTCAGTCCTAACAAAGCCAATATACTTTCCTAGGACAGTGATTGCTTTCTTTAAAGTAGTGTCCAGCCCATTCTAAAAACTAGTAAAAGTAAGGCCAGATAGCTCAAATTAGTTGGTTAATTTGGTATTCAAATCGGTTTTTTTTTGGAGACAGAGTCTCACTCTGTCACCCAGGCTGGAGTGCAGTGGTGTGATCTTGGCTCAATGCAACCTCCACTTCCCAGGTTCAAGCAATTCTCCTGTCTCAGCCTCCTGAGAAGCTGGAATTATAGGCAAGCGCCACCACACCCAGCTAATTTTTGTATTTTTAGTAGAGATGGGGTTTCACCATGTTTCCTAGGCTGGTCTTGAACTACTGACCCCAAGTGATCTGCCTGCCTTAACCTCCCAAAGTGCTGGGATTACAGTTGTGGTCCACTGCGCCTGGCCGCTAAATTGTTTTATACATACTTTTCATCCTCTGATTATTTAGTATTTCTAATTATTTTGCTATATTTCTCTGAAAATCAATCAAGTACACAGTTTTAGTGAAATGTAAACTAAATTTTGCTTATGTCTGTTTCTGTCAGCCATTCTGAAACCAAATTTCCATTTGTTCTACCCAATAAAGAACATATATTTTCCTTTAGAATAATGGGCACAGTCTGGAAACATAATTGAGAAAGGCTAATTCTGGGCCAATAAAATCTTCAAGGAAAGATTCAACACAAAACAGGGAGGTGAATAAAGCAAATATGTTGTAATGAAACCCTCCCTTGTAAACGCATCTGTCCTTTCCTCCCATGTTTGGAAATGTTGCCTAAGTTTAAAAAATTAATCAAGACATTTTACACCACAAGTCACATAAAATAAGGTCTATTTCAGCCAGATAACCTATAGCTGTTAAAGAATTATATTTTCCTGTTCATAAGATGAGAGGTAGTGACATTTTATTCTCTCAATGCTGAGCTAAAAATTCCACACATCTGGCACACGGATTATAAGGGGGACAAAGCACATAAGCACCATTGTCCACTCTTCATGTTTTGGTATTTCAGGTCACCCATAACTTCATTTGCTATTGGCAGCTGATGATCACTGGTGCGTTAACACTGAAGCAGTGGGTATTAGTGCTGTTCATCATATGGTCCTGGTGGGTCTCCATCATCTTTCAAAAATGAAGCAGCTTTCCTTCCATTCTTCTGAATGTGATCTTCATTCATTTTCTCCAAAGCTTCTATCTCAGCTAAAAAATCAGATTCATTATCTGCTGAGATGTTTAAGCCTGAAACAGCATTGAAGAGTTCACTAAGGGCTTCCTTGACTCCTCCTTTCTGGAAAAACTGCGAGACATTCCTGAGTCCTGGAACAAGAGCTCCAGGCCATGAGGATGGGTAGGTTCTACTGACTGACTGACATCAATCAACCAGACCTTTCTAGCATGCCACAGCATGTTGTATTCACTGAGGTCAGCGTGGATGAGTGTATATTCGTTATATAACTGCTGCATCAGATGAAGAGTTTGATAGTAGGCTTCTTTCATTTCTTCACTATTGAGCTTTACTTCTTTTAATTTAGAAGCTGGAACTTGATCATGGCCAACAAAAGACATAAGAAAAATGTGTTTCTTGAGTAGTACAATTGTTGGACAAGAAATTTCAGCTGTCTGCATTCTTGTGAGATTGTGCCTTTCTTTTTCTGCCCACATGCAGATGATCTTACATGGATGTAGTTTGCTGAAGCAATCTTTAAACCTGAAATCATCCTTAATATATTTGTCACGATTCTTAAACTCATTAAGTGTTGTTTTAAATACCTTGAGGGCACATTCTGTAGGTATAACTTTACTGTCTTCCTTTTCATCCTCCGTGCTCCCACCATATGCATGAAAGACAACAGATTCCTTTCCTGTATTAATACAGCCAGTGATTGTCTCCAGCATTCCAGAGTTCACCATTTTATACATAAGCAAACGTGTCTTAGGATCAACTGCTTTTTCTGCTGTTGAATGCTCCTTTTTTTCATGTAGCTGGGCACTTTGACATTCTTCTGAGTAGGCATGTTGTTATAAAGCATCGGAAACATGGTTTGATAGTTTTAAGTCCATTTCAATTCATCCCCTACCTGAAACTCAGGTGCAAAATTTTCCATTCCTGCTGTATTCTTTCTCCCACATACTACTTCATCATGTTTGGTGGTGATATCTTTTCCTTTTCCAATAAAACCCTTTTTAGGAGTGGGAGCCGGTTTTGCTGGTCTGTAGGGATGGATCATCCTGAGTACCTGCCAGTCAGCCTCATCTTCAGAGCTATCGCTGTCTTCATAAGGATGCACTTCTCGATAATTCTCAAAGGAAATGGAAACTTTGCTATCTCCATTGAATGTTTTTTCTTCACACCTAAGCTGTGCATCATATTCTCTGTCAAAGTCCATCAATAGTATCTGAGCCAGCATAAGGTCACTGGAAGTATCAATGTTTTATCCAGTAATAAATGGTCCTTCGGCAACAGCAACTTCAGGAAAAACAGCAGCTGCTTCTTCTAACTGCAATTCTTTGGCCAGCTGTTCACTCATTACCTCAGCCAAAGAACTAGATATTGTATTTTGAGCGATAGCCCACGGACACTTGCTGGGTCCCCAGGCCGCTGCTGGCCCGGGCTCAGGCGATGCCACTCCTACCAGATCCATTGGGGGATGAAGGCAGCGACAAAAACAGAGCAGAGAGGTGGCAGGACAGGAAGTAGGCTCTGCCTCGGAGATGGGCAGGGCAGGGGCGACTGGCTGCTAGTGCCAGAGCAAAGGTGACAGATGGCTGCGGCAGCGGTGGCGGTGGCGACGGTGGTGGCCTCCCCTTTATGTTATTTAAAATTTTAATCATCGCATGTATTACCTATTTATACAGGCAACAGGTACACACTGCATTGCTATGTCCTAGCCCTGCCCTTGATGACGCTGAGTGAGTAGACCAAAGAAGAACTTTATGAGAAGGTTTTCATTTGCTGTTGATACAAACTGCTAGTTAGGAACTACTGTCCTGTGATATATGCTATTTATATCACTTATTTATTACAAAAAGCTGCCTTGTAAATAAAAAGTTCTGAGTATAGCAAGACACAAAGCACCTTGAAGGGAAAGGAAGAACACAATATATTTTTTGAGCATCTGCAAGAATTCGCATATATTATTTCATTTAATCCTTATCCAGCCCTATGTGGTAGATATTGTTGTGTGCATTTGTCACAGATGAGGAAACCGAGATGCAGAGACAAGTAATTTGCCCAAGATCGCACAGCTGGGGCCAAACACAGTGGTTCATGCCTGCAGTCCCAGCACTTTGGGAGACTGAGGCCAGAGGATTGCTTGAGGCCAGGAATTTGACACCAGCCTGGGCAGCATAGGAGACCCGGACTCTACAAAAAAAAAAAAAAAAAATAGCCAGACATGATGGCAGACGGTATGTGTCTGTAGTCCCAGGTACTTGAGAGGCAGAGGTGGGAAGATCACTTGAGCCCAGGAGTTGAAGTCTGCAGTGAGCCGTGATTGCTGCCACTGCATTCAGCCTGGGCAACACAGCATGACCCTGGCAAAAACAAAAACACCTCAAAACCGAAACCGAAACCAAAACCAAAACAAAAAACAACAACAACAACAAAAAACCCCCCAAGATTCTGCAACTAGTTATAAGCCTGATCTGGACTTGAACTCCGTCTGACACCAGAGGCTGACCCCATGCTCCCACCCTGAAGCACCCAGCACTGTGGGATGCAGCAAGTGGAGATTCAAAAGGGATTTGCTGCTGGGCACGATGGCTCACGCTGATCATCCCAGCACCTTGGGAGGGATGACAGATCACCTGAAGTCAGGAGTTCAAGACCAGCCTGACCAACATAGTGAAACCCCATCTCTACTAAAAATACAAAAATTAGCTGGGCATGGTGGTGCGTGCCTGTAATCACAGCTGCTTGGGAGGCTGAGGCAGGAAAATCGCTTGAACCCGGGAGGTCAAGGTTACAGTGAGCTGAGATTGTGCCACTGCACTACAGCCTGGGTGACAGAGTGAGACTCCGTCCCGCCCGACCCCCAAAAAAGAGATTTGTTAAATGGGTAAATAATGCAAAAACTTTCTGAAAATAGGCACTCAACCACCATCAGATATTCAGGGAAACCACAAAGTTTCTATTCATTAGTGTGTCTGGACTACTTCTGAGGTCTTGCTACAAGAAGAAGCAATGGTTATGAACTGAAATTAATCACAGAAATGTAGGTTATGTAATGGCTTCACCAAAGCAGAAATTTCATTTCAGCTTTCTTTGCAGTAAAAGACCAAATGTAGTGACACTTAACTGGTTAATCCTGATGGTTTAATAGCCAATCATTGTAACTGAAATCTTCTAGGCTGGGTGTGGTGACTCACACCTGTAATGCTAATTTGGGAGACCAAAGTGGGTGGATCACCTGAGGTCAGGAGTTTGAGACCAGCCTGGCCAAAATGGCGAAACCCCATCTCTACTACAAATACAAAAAAATTAGCTGGGTGAGGTAGTGGGTGCCTGTGATCTCAGAGACTCTGGAGGCTGAGGCAGGAGAATCGCTGGGACCCAGGAGGCAGAGGTTGCAATGAGCCAGGATTGTGCCATTGTGCCTCAGCCTTGGCGACACAGCATGCCTCAGTCTTAAAAAAAAAAAATCTTCTAGCCCTTTGTTTTATTTATTACAAGATGTCCTATCTTGTTCCTACTTATCAATGCTGGTCTAAAAATAATTTTAATAATGAAATGAATAAAATTTAATTACAGTTTTTGCAAAGGTAATACATGTATATGGTTCAAACTGTGAAAGATACAAAAGGGAATTCGATGAAAAGCCTCCCTCTACCACTGTCCCCACTCATCTAGTTTACATCAGTGTCAGCCAGTGTCACCAGTTCCTTGTGTGTCCTTCCAGAGATACTCATGCATTTGCAAGCAAATATGCATGTTTTCCCCGACTTTTTTTTTTGAGACTGAGTCTCACTCTGTCGCCCAGGCTGGAGTGCAGTGGCAAGACCTCGGCTCACCGCAACCTTCACCTCCCATGTGATTCTCCTGCTTCAGCTCCCAAGGTGCTGGAACTACAGGCATGTGCCAGCAGGCTTGGCTAATTTTTTGTATTTTTAGTAGAGATAGGGTTTCACCTTGTTATCCAGGATGGTCTTGATCCCCTGACTTCGTGATCCGCCTGCCTTGGCCTCCCAAAGTGCTGGAATTACAGGCATGAGTCACCATGCCCAGCCATATAAATATTTTTGAGGACATAATAGACAATACCAACCTTTCTGCCTCAGCTCTTCAGGAGGCTGAGGCAAGAGAATTGATTTTTTATTGTTTTTCACTTAACATTATTCTTTGGAGGTCATTTCATTTGGCTACAAAAAATCCTTCCTCATTCTTTTGTAGCTTCATAGTTGCCAATGGTGAGAATGTATCATAATTTGTTGGCAAGACACTTGTTGATGGACATGTGAGTTGCTTCTAGTCTTTTGCTGTCATTAGCGATGCTGAAATGAATAACATTGTGCATGCTGGTATCATTTTACGCCATCTCCTAATGTCTTTCTTCCTAACTTTTGATTACATTTGGTCTTGTTTTTGGAGTACTTGGTGAAACCCTGAATATGCTCAACATTTGGTTTGGTTACCTAGAAAGCAGCCATGAGCAAGCCTTCTAAGCCAGATCTAGCAGATAACATACCCCGAGTGTCTCCAGAGCAAAAACCTTAGACCCTTAAGCAAAAGAAGTTTCATAAAAGTTACTCCAGCAATCTTGGAGAGATTGCTTAAGGGTCTAAGGTTTTTTTTTCATAAAAATTAAACATTTGTGAAGCCACTGAAACACCTATGGAGAACTCCGGAAGTAAAGTCTTCCTTCTTTTTTTCTTTTTGAGCCAGAGTCTTGCTCTGTCACCCAAGCTGGAGTGTAATGGCGTGATCTTGCAACTTCGCCTCCCAGATTCAAACAATTCTCCTGCCTCAGCCTCTCAAGTGGCTGGGATTACAGATGCCCACCAACATGCCTGGCTAATTTTTTGTATTTTAGTAGAGATGGAGTTTCACCATGTTGACCAGGATGGTCTTGAACTCCTGACCTCGTGATCCACCTGCCTTTGCTTCCCAAAGTGCTGAAATTACAAGCGTGGCCCGCAATGAATAACTTTTTTTTTTTTTTTTTTTTTTTTTTAATTTTTTATTGGATTATAGGTTTTGGGGTACATGAGCAGAGCATGCAAGACAGTTGCGTAGGTACACACATGGCAGTGTGCTTTGCTTTTCTTCTCCCCTTCACCCACATTTGGCATTTCTCCCCAGGCTACCCCTCCCCACCTCCCCCTCCCACTGGCCCTCCCCTTTTCTCCCCAATAGACCCCAGTGTTTAGTACTCCCCTTTCTGTGTCCATGTGTTCTCATTTTTCATCACCCACCTATGAGTGAGAATATGCGGTGTTTCATTTTCTGTTCTTGTGTCAGTTTGCTGAGGATGATGTTTTCCAGATTCATCCATGTCCCTACAAACGACACGAACTCATCATTTCTGATTGCTGCATAATATTCCATGGTGTATATGTGCCACATTTTTCCAATCCAGTCTATTATCAATGGGCATTTGGGTTGATTCCAGGTCTTTGCTATTGTAAACAGTGCTGCAATGAACATTCGTGTACATGTGTCCTTATAGTAGAACGATTTATAGTCTTTTGGATATATACCCAGTAATGGGATTGCTGGGTCAAATGGAATTTCTATTTCTAAGGCCTTGAGGAATCGCCACACTGTCTTCCACAATGGTTGAACTAATTTACACTCCCACCAACAGTGTAAAAGTGTTCCTTTTTCTCCACATCCTCTCCAGCATCTGTTGTCTCCAGATTTTTTAATGATCGCCATTCTAACTGGCGTGAGATGGTATCTCAATGTGGTTTTGATTTGCATCTCTCTGATGACCAGTGACGATGAGCATTTTTTCATATGATTGTTGGCCTCATATATGTCTTCTTTCGTAAAGTATCTGTTCATATCCTTTGCCCACTTTTGAATGGGCTTGTTTGTTTTTTTCCTGTAAATCTGCTTGAGTTGTTTGTAAATTCTGGATATCAGCCCTTTGTCAGATGGGTAGACTGCGAAAATTTTTTCCCATTCTGTTGGTTGCCGATCCACTCTAATGACTGTTTCTTTTGCCGTGCAGAAGCTGTGGAGTTTCATTAGGTCCCATTTGTCTATTTTGGCTTTTGTTGCCAATGCTTTTGGTGTTTTTTTCATGAAGTCCTTGCCTACTCCTATGTCCTGGATAGTTTTGCCTAGATTTTCTTCTAGGGTTTTTATGGTGCCAGGTCTTATGTTTAAGTCTTTAATCCATCTGGAGTTAATTTTAGTGTAAGGTGTCAGGAAGGGGTCCAGTTTCTGCTTTCTGCACATGGCTAGCCAGTTTTCCCGACACCATTTGTTAAACATGGAATCCTTGCCCCATTGCTTGTTTTTGTCAGGTTTATCAAAGATTGTATAGTTGTATGTATGTTGTGTTGCCTCCGGTGCCTCTGTTTTGTTCCATTGGTCTATATCTCTGTTTTGGTACCAGTACCATGCTGTTTTGATTACTGTAGCCTTGTAGTCTAGTTTGAAATCCGGTAGTGTGATGCCCCCCGCTGTGTTCTTTTTGCTTAGAATTGACTTGGCTATGCGGGCTCTCTTTTGGTTCCATATGAAGTTCATGGTGGTTTTTTCCAGTTCTGTGAAGAAAGTCAATGGTAGCTTGATGGGGATAGCGTTGATTCTGTAAATTACTTTGGGCAGTATAGCCATTTTCACGATATTAATTCTTCCTAACCATGAACATGGAATGTTTCTCCATCTGTTTGTGTCCTCTCTGATTTCGTTGAGCAGTGATTTGTAGTTCTCCTTGAAGAGGTCCCTTACGTTCCTTGTGAGTTGTATTCCAAGGTATTTTATTCTTTTTGTAGCAATTGTGAATGGCAGTTCGCTCTTGATTTGGCTTTCTTTAAGTCTGTTATTGGTGTAGACGAATGCTTGTGATTTTTGCACATTGATTTTATATCCTGAGACTTTGCTGAAGTTGTTTATCAGTTTCAGGAGTTTTTGGGCTGAGGCGATGGGGTCTTCTAGGTATACTATCATGTCGTCTGCAAATAGAGACAATTTGGCTTCCACCTTTCCTATTTGAATACCCTTTATTTCTTTTTCTTGCCTGATTGCTCTGGCTAGAACTTCCAGTACTATATTGAATAGGAGTGGTGAGAGAGGGCATCCTTGTCTAGTACCAGATTTCAAAGGGAATGCTTCCAGTTTTTGCCCATTCAGTATGATATTGGCTGTTGGTTTGTCATAAATAGCTTTTATTACTTTGAGATACATTCCATCGATACCGAGTTTATTGAGGGTTTTTAGCATAAAGGCCTGTTGAATTTTGTCAAATGCCTTCTCTGCGTCAATTGAGATAATCATGTGGTTTTTGTTTTTGGTTCTGTTTATGTGGTGAATTACGTTGATAGACTTGCGTATGTTGAACCAGCCTTGCATCCCTGGGATGAATCCTACTTGATCATGATGAATAAGTTTTTTGATTTGCTGTTGCAGTCGGCTTGCCAATATTTTATTGAAGATTTTTGCATCTATGTTCATCATGGATATTGGCCTGAAGTTTTCTTTTCTCGTTGGGTCTCTGCCGGGTTTTGGTATCAGGATGATGTTGGTCTCATAAAATGATTTGGGAAGGATTCCCTCTTTTTGGATTGTTTGAAATAGTTTTAGAAGGAATGGTACCAACTCCTTCTTGTGTGTCTGGTAGAATTCGGCTGTGAACCCATCTGGACCTGGGCTTTTTTTGTGAGGTAGGCTCTTAATTGCTGCCTCAACTTCAGACCTTGTTATTGGTCTATTCATAGTTTCAGCTTCCTCCTGGTTTAGGCTTGGGAGGACACAGGAGTCCAGGAATTTATCCATTTCTTCCAGGTTTACTAGTTTATGTGCATAGAGTTGTTTGTAATATTCTCTGACGATGGTTTGAATTTCTGTGGAATCTGTGGTGATTTCCCCTTTATCATTTTTTATTGCATCTATTTGGTTGTTCTCTCTTTTATTTTTAATCAATCTGGCTAGTGGTCTGTCTATTTTGTTGATCTTTTCAAAAAACCAGCTCTTGGATTTATTGATTTTTTGAAGGGTTTTTCGTGTCTCAATCTCCTTCAGCTCAGCTCTGATCTTAGTAATTTCTTGTCTTCTGCTGGGTTTTGAGTTTTTTTGATCTTGCTCCTCTAGCTCTTTCAATTTTGACGATAGGGTGTCAATTTTGGATCTCTCCATTCTCCTCATATGGGCACTTATTGCTATATACTTTCCTCTAGAGACTGCTTTAAATGTGTCCCAGAGGTTCTGGCACGTTGTGTCTTCGTTCCCATTGGTTTCGAAGAACTTCTTTATTTCTGCCTTCATTTCGTTGTTTACCCAGTCAACATTCAAGAGCCAGTTGTTCAGTTTCCATGAAGCTGTGCGGTTCTGGGTCGGTTTCTGAATTCTGAGTTCTAACTTGATTGCACTATGGTCGGAGAGGCTGTTTGTTATGATTTCAGTTGTTTTGCATTTGTTGAGCAGTGCTTTACTTCCAATTATGTGGTCAATTTTAGAGTAGGTGTGATGTGGTGCTGAGAAGAATGTGTATTCTGTGGATTTGGGGTGGAGAGTTCTGTAAATGTCCACCAGGTTTGCTTGCTCCAGGTCTGAGTTCAAGCCCTGGGTATCCTTGTTGATTTTCTGTCTGGTTGATCTGTCTAGTATTGACAGTGGAGTGTTAAAGTCTCCCACTATTATTGTGTGGGAGTCTAAGTCCTTCTGTAAGTCATCAAGAACTTGCCTTATGTATCTGGGTGCTCCTGTGTTGGGTCCATATATGTTTAGGATCGTTAGCTCTTCTTGTTGTATCGATCCTTTTACCATTATGTAATGGCCTTCTTTGTCTCTTTTGATCTTTGTTGCTTTAAAGTCTATTTTATCAGAGATGAGAATTGCAACTCCTGCTTTTTTTTGCTTTCCATTAGCTTGGTAAATCTTCCTCCATCCCTTTATTTTGAGCCTTTGTGTATCCTTGCATGTGAGATGGGTTTCCTGGATACAGCACACTGATGGGTTTTGGATTTTTATCCAATTTGCCAGTCTGTGTCTTTTGATTGGTGCATTTAGTCCATTTACATTTAGGGTTAATATTGTTATGTGTGAATTTGATACTGCCATTTTGATTCTAAGTGGCTGGTTTGCCTGTTAGTTGTTGTAGATTCTTCATTATGTTGAAGCTCTTTAGCATTCAGTGTGATTTTGGAATGGCTGGTACTGCTTGTTCCTTTCTATGTGTAGTGCCTCTTTTAGGAGCTCTTGTAAAGCAGGCCTGGTGGTGACAAAATCTCTGAGTAATTGCTTGTTCGCAAAGGATTTTATTCTTCCTTCACTTCTGAAGCTCAGTTTGGCTGGATATGAAATTCTGGGTTGAAAGTTCTTTTCTTTAAGAATGTTGAATATTGGCCCCCACTCTCTTCTGGCTTGTAGTGTTTCTGCCGAGAGATCTGCTGTGAGTCTGATGGGCTTCCCTTTGTGGGTGACCCGACCTTTCTCTCTGGCTGCCCTTAGTATTCTCTCCTTTATTTCAACCCTGTTGAATCTGACGATTATGTGCCTTGGGGTTGCTCTTCTTGCGGAATATCTTTGTGGTGTTCTCTGTATTTCCTGCAATTGAGTGTTGGCTTGTCTTGCTAGGTGGGGGAAATTTTCCTGGATGATGTCCTGAAGAGTATTTTCCAGCTGGGATTCATTCTCTTCGTCCCCTTCTGGTACACCTATCAAACGTAGGTTAGGTCTTTTCACATAGTCCCACATTTCTTGGAGACTTTGTTCATTCCTTTTTGCGCTTTTTTCTCTGATCTTGGTTTCTCGTTTTATTTCATTGAGTTGGTCTTCGACTTCAGATATTCTTTCTTCTGCTTGGTCAATTCGGCTATTGAAACTTGCGTTTGCTTCGCGAAGTTCTCGTATTGTGTTTTTCAGCTCCTTTAATTCATTCATATTCCTCTCTAAGGTATCCATTCTTGTTATCATTTCCTCGAATCTTTTTTCAAATCTTTTTTCAAGGTTCTTAGTTTCTTTGCATTGATTTAATACATGATCTTTTAGCTCACAAAAGTTTCTCATTATCCATCTTCTGAAGTCTAATTCCGTCATTTCGTCACAGTCATTCTCCGTCCAGCTTTGTTCCCTTGCTGGTGAGGAGTTTTGGTCCTTTCTAGGAGGCGATGTGTTCTGGTTTCGGGTGTTTTCCTCCTTTTTGCGCTGGTTTCTTCCCATCTTTGTGGATTTGTCCGCTGGTCGTCTGCGTAGTTGCTGACTTTTCGTTTGGGTCTCTGAGTGGACACCCAGAATGTTGATGACGAAGTATTTCTGTTGCTTGGTTTTCCTTCTACCAGTCTAGCCCCTTCGCTGTACGACTGTTGAGGTCCGCTCCAGACCCTGCTTCTCTGGGGTGCACCTCTAGTAGCCGTGGCACAGCGAGGGATGCTACCAGTTTCTTTTTCTGCTCTCTTTGTCCCAGGATGATGCCTGCCTAATGACAGTCTTTTGGATATAGAGGGGTCAGGGAGCTGCTTGAGGAGACAGTTTGTACTTTATAGGGGTTTAATTGCTGAGCTGTGCACTCTGTTGTTCATTCAGGGCTGTTAGGCTGCTATGTTTGATTCTGCTGCAACACAGCTCATTAAACAACCCTTTTTTTTTTTCTCAAATGCTCTGTGTTGAGGGGTTTGGGCTTTATTTTTGGATGTCCGATCAGGTGTCCTGCCCAGCTCAAAGGCAGACTAGCCACTGTTTGGCTGCCGAGGCTCCGCCCTGCTGTTGTGTGATTCGCGCTGTTCCTGCCGGCTCTGCTGTGGTCTCCGCCACGCCCTGCGGCGGAGTCTCTTCCTTGTAGCGTGTTGCCTCAGCAACGGCAGGCTGCGTCAGCAGTGGGCGTGTATCTCAGTAGGGACGGGTTGCCTCGGCAACGGCTGGCTGCCTCAGCAGTGGGCGTGTATATCAGTTGGGGCAGGTTGCCTCCGTAGTGGAGGATGCCCCTCCCCCACAGAGCGTCTCGGACCGTCTGCCCGGGATAGTTTGAAATCGCGGTTTTGTTCGTCCCACTGGGTATCCCAAACGATCTGTCCCGGCAATCCCCTGGGCTGGGCTACTGTGCAAGTCTCGTTCAGTCTCAAGTCCAGCCCTCTCAAGTCTCAGGTTGCCGGTTCAACAAGGCACCCGGAAAGCGCGCCCTGTGGGGATTGCTGGGTAGGGCCGGCCGCCGCCGCCCCGGCTGCCGGCTTCGCCAGGCAGACCTACTGCCTGGCGTCCCGTGTCTTTTTATACTTGGGAGTTTCCCCGTTCTGTGGGCAACAAAGATCAGTCTGGAAATGCAGCACTGACTCACCGTTTGCGAATTCAACGCGGGCTCCAATCCTGGGTTGTTCTCACAGCGCCATCTTGAGTCCCCCGAGAAGCCGAATAACTTTTTTTTTTTTGAGATGGAGTCTTGCTCCCAGGCTGGAGTACAGTGGTACCATCTTGACTCGCTGCAACCTCGTCCTTTCAGGTTCAAGCAATTCTCCTGTCTCAGCCTCCCAAGTAGCTGGGTTTACAGGTCTGAGCCACCATGCCCAGCTAATTTTTGTATTTTTAGTAGAGACAGGGTTTCACCATGTTGGTCTAACTGGTCTTGAACTGCTGACCTCGTGATCTACCCGCCTTGGCCTCCCCAAGTCCTGAGATTACAGGCGTGAGACATTGTGCCCGGCCACAGTGAATAGCTTTTTACATACAGTTACATCCTTTTGCACATGTGCAGTTGTATCTGTAGAAGAAATCCCTAGATGTGGAATTGAATTGTTATGCTAAATAGCTGTGCATATATAAACTCCACAGAAGGCAGAGACTGTGTTTTACTTTCATCTAACCTTAGTGTTGAACACAGGTCTTGGTACTCAATAGATGTTCAATAGATATTTGGACAAATTAATGAATGAGTGAATTCAGAGAATGAGTTCAGAGAGTGGTAAACAAATCTTTGTTGAACAAATCAATGAATGAGTTCAGAGAATGAATGAGTCCAGCTGGGATGCTCAGCTATGCTTTCATGAGGGGGGTGGTGACTTTTGGCACCATGTCTTATAGTCTATATACTACTCTGAAGACGACATCAAATTTAATTTTCTTCATATTTGTAAATCTTTCCCTCCCTCCCTCCCTCCCCGACTTCCTTCCCTCTCTCTCTCTCTCTCTCTCTCTCCTCCCCCCTCCCTCCCTCTCTTTCTTTCTTTGACAGAGTCTCACTCTTTCACCAGGCTGGAGTGCAGTGGCACGATCTTGGCTCACTTCAACCTCTGTCTCTCAGGTTCAAGCAATTCTAATGCCTCAGCCTCCTAAGGAGCTGGGATTACAGGCCTGCACCACCACACCCAGCTAATTTTTCTATTTTTAGTAGATATGGGATTTAACTATGTTGGCCAGGATGGACTCAATCTCCTGACCTCGTGATCCGCCCACTGCAATCTTGAACTCCTGAGCTCAAGCATCCGAAGTGCCTGGCACTACCGGCATGTGCACTGTACCTGTCACTCTCTATCTATCTGTCCCCTTGCTTTTTATTCTGGAGTTTCACTGGAAGGGATGGGGCATGACTTCATGTGTGAGAGAACATGAAGATTGTATGTCTTGGCTTTCCCCATGCAAGTCTTTTTGTAATAAATCTGAGGCTCTAAAAGATTCATTTCCAGAAAACAACGAGATTTGAGATTTTCTCTGTCAGGGACTGAGGAGAGAAGCTGTTTGAATGAATGCACTGGATGAGGAATCAAAGATGAGGTTGTGGCCCCCACGGAAAAGAGGGTGTGACCCTAAAGAGAGGTTCGTGGCCTGTAAGAAGGGTGTAGCCTCTAGGAGGAAGGAGGTGCCTCTGTGAGTTTGTCTCCCAGGACCCAAATCATGTGCTAACTTAAAACCTTTCCTGCTGGGCGAGGTGGCTCATGCCTGTAATCCCAGCACCGTGGGAGGCCGAGGTGGGCAGATCACGAGGTCAAAAGTTGACCCTGTCTCTACTAAAAATACAAAAATTAGCTGGGCATGGTGGCGGGCACTTGAAATCCCAACTACTTGGGAGGCTGAGGCAGGAGAATTACTTGAACCCGGGAGGTGGAGGTTGCAGTGAGCCAAGATTGTGCCATTGTACTCCAGCCTGGGCACCCTGAGCACAACCCTGACTCAAAACAAACACATCACACACACACACACACACACACACACACACACACCCCTTATTCGCCCTGCTCCCACCGCAGCACTCCCCAGGCTGCAGCACTGCTTCGTTGCTGGTGTGGAGACCTACCCTGCTCTCTGCTTCTTTTTAAACTCTCCTAGATTCCAGCGTTAAACTCTACCCCTGCCTCTCTACTATTTATTTACAATTCTTCCTTCCAGAGTCACACCAGGCTGGGTGAGGAGGCTCATACCTGTAATCCTAGCACTTGGGAGGCCAAGGCTAATGGATCACGAGGCCAACAGTTTGAGACCAATCTGGCCAACATAGTGAAACCCCATCTGTACTAAAAATACAATACAAAAAAAAAAAAATTAGCCAGGTGTGGTGGTGGGTGCCTGTAATCCCAACTACTTGGGAGGCTAAGGCAGGAGAATTGTGTGAACCCGGGAGGCAGAGCTTGCAGTGAGCCGAGATCATGACATTGTACTCCTGCCCGGGCGACAGTGCAAGACTCTGTCTCAAAGAAAAAAAAAAGAGTCACACGAGACAGGGCACAGAGCTCATGCCTGCAATATCAGCGCTTTGGGAGGCTGAGGCACAGGAAGATCTCTTAAGCCCAGCAGTTTGAGACCAACCTGGAGAGACCCCATCGCTACAAAAAATTTAATTAAAAAAATTAGCCTGGTGTGGTGACACCTGCCTGTGGTTCTAGCTACTTGGGAGGCTAAGGTGAGAGGATCACCTGACCTAATAAAATAAAAAATATTAGGAGGTCAAGGCCATGAGTCACATTCATGCCACTGCACTCCAGCCTAGACGACAGAGTGAGACCCTGTCTCTGTAAAACTATGGCTGGGCCACTGCACTCCAGCCTGGGCGACTGAGTGAGACTCTTTCTTTTCAGGAAAAAAAAAAATAATTCAGGCCGGGCACAGAGGCTCATGCCTGCTATCCCAGCACTTTGGGAGGCTGAGGTGGGGGGTGGGGAAATCACCTGAGGTTGGGAGTTCAAGACCAGCCTGGCCAACATGGTAAAATCCCCATCTCTACTAAAAATACAAAAGAATTAGCCAGGTGTGGTGGCAGGTGCCTGTAATCCAAGCTACTTGGGAGGCTGAGGCAGGAGAATCCTGGAGGCAGAGGTTTCAGTGAGCCAAGATCTCGGCACTGCACTACAGCCTGGGCAACAGAGAGAGACTATCTCAAAAAACAACAACAAAAAAAAATCAGACCAAGCATCGCCAGTATGTCTTCTGTAGAAGTAAACAGAATCAGAGGCAAGAATCAACTTTATTCGTATTATAAAGGAAACGCTTTTGTTTTGTGTATACTGTTAGTTTCTGTTTTAAAATACTCGAATTACTGTATTAAGAAAAAAAACCTCTGGCTGGGGGTGGTGGCTCATGACAGTAATCTCAGCACTTTGGAGGCCAAGGCAGGTGGATCACCTGAGGTCAGGAGTTTGAGACCAGCCTGACCAACATGGTGAAACCCCATCTCTGCTAAAAATACAAAAATTAGCCTGGCATGATGGTGGGGGCCTGCAATCCCAGCTACTTGGGAGGCTGAGTCAGGAGAATCGCTTGAACCCAGGAGGTGGAGGTTGCAGTGAGCCGAGATGGTGCCATTGCACGCCAGCCTGGGCAACAAGACCAAGACTTAATCTCAAAAAAAAAATTAAAAATTTTAAATTCTTTACCACATTAAGCATACGAACCCAGAGAAAATTTTTTGATGCTCTATATTCTTTTGCCAATGTTTTATTTGAAATAGTTCAGTCCTAGTACTTTTCCATCATTAGTGTAAAATAACTTTTTGTTACTGTTAAACTCAATTTGGGTTCAAAATCATATTTCCAGCCTAGGCAACATAGTGAGGCCCCTTCACAAAAAATATTAGCTGGGGATGGTGGCATGAGCCTGTAGTCTCAGCTACTTGGGAGGCTGAGGAGGGAGGATCACTTGAGTCCAGGAGGTTGAGGCTGCAGTGAGCCTGGTGATGGCGTCATCACACTCCAGCCTGGGTGTCAGAGTGAGACTGTGTCTCGAAAGAAAATCATATGTGATTCATAAAAGGTGTGGAGTAATATGTATTATCACCCTATTCTATCCTTGATATGGTTTATATAATTGTGGCTATTTGCCTTGCAGATCTAAAAGAAGAAAGAGAAAGAGAGGGAGGAAGGAAGGAGGACTAAGCCCCAGGCGATGCCTCTAGAGTAACATGTGCTCACTGGGTGCAGAGACCATGGCAAGGTGCCCCTTTAGGGAGGGTGGGACATGGGAAGCCCCTTTAGGGAGGGTGGGACATGGGAAGAGTGTGGGGCTTGGGAGAACGGGACTGTCACCACCAAGGGTGGGGTTGTGGCTTGGGTGATGGGGGCTGAAATAACCAAAGCCTGGCGACTCAGATGGCCACACTGTTTTCCACCAGGCTGGGCCGCAGGTATTCATAGGGCATGTCCAGCTTTGCATTCCGGGTCTCGATTTCCTTATCAAGGGCAGCTAGCTCCTCCCTGAACTTCCTCAGCACAGCCTTAGGCTCAGGGCCCGAAAAATACTCCTCCTCATGCTGGCCCACAGCCACCTGGGAGGCAGAGGGAAAGGCAGCTGAGAGCCTCATGACCCCCAGCCTGGGGAGCCACACGCCCCCACAGCTGCCTCCTCCCTCCTCCCTCAGACCCCAGGCACTTGGCTCTCACCATAATGGGCTGGCGTCTGCCCAGCTGCCAAGTGATGGACATCTGGAGAGAAGCTTGGTGGAAGTTGGGCAGTGTCGCCATCACCGTCTCCACTGTCGCATCCTTGGTGGTTGGCGGGGGCAACCGCATCGTGCAGGGTGCATTAGGAACCCAAGTGTACCAGTCCAGCTAAGGAAGGGCAGGGATCTAGAGTCAGTGTCTGCGAAGCATGAAAACCCTGGGGCCGCCGGGCTCAGTGGCTCATGCCTGTAATCCCAGCACTCTGAGAGGCCGAGGCGGGTGGATCACAAAGTCAGGAGTTTGAGACCAGTCTGGCCAACATAGTGAAACACTGTCTCTACTAAAAATACAAAAAATGAGCTGGACATGGTGGTGTGCACCTGTAATTCCAGCTACTCGAGAGACTGAGGCAGGAGAATTGCGTGAACCCAGGAGGCGGAGGTTGCAGTGAGCCAAAATCACACCACTGCACTCCAGCCCAGGTGACAGTGCAAGATTTTGTTTCAAAAAAAAGAAACAAAGAAAGAAAAGAAAACCCTGTGGCCCACTTGCACACAGACACCTCCCTCACTCCAGACCCCAAATTCCCAGCTGCCCAGCTCTGCTAAGTACCTGGCCCAGGTGGACAGAGGAGTGTTGACCCGTGCAGGTGAAGATGCACATGGTGAGAAAGTGGCAGAGCTGTTCCTGAGACTGTAAAGAGACAGGAAACCCTGCAGGGGGGAGGAGAGTCAGAAGCTGTGAAGCCAGGAGGAGGGCAGAGCTCAGAGGATCAGGCCCAGAGAGGAAAACAAGAGGCGTGAGAAGAGCGACAGGAGCGCTCAGTAACTCTTATGGGAACTGCCATGACAGCAGGTTGGGGTGGGGAATGGGGAGCTCTGCTGAGAGTCCCACGCAGTGGGGTGTTTCTGCTTACTCATATGGGCTCACGAGAGTTAGTCCAGGATGTGAAGGTGTTTGGCAAGCTGGTCAGCATCACCTTGGTAGTCATAGTAAAAATATTTATACCGGCTGGATACAGTGGCTCAGGCCTTTAACCTCAGCACTTTGGGAGGCCGAGGCAGGCAGATCACCTGAGGTCAGGAGTTCAAGACCAGCCTGGCCAACATGGTGAAACCCGGTCTCTATTAAAAATAAAAAATATTATCCGGGTGTAGTGTCAGGTGCCTGTAATCCCAGCTATTTGGGAGGCTGAGGCAGGAGAATCACTTGAACCTGGGAGGTGGAGGTTGCAGTGAGCCGAGATTGCACCATTGCACTCCAGCTTGGGCAACAGAGTGACACTCCATCTCAAAAAAAAAAAAAAAAAAAAAAAGAAATATTTATAACCTGGAAATGCGCAAATCCTACAAATCAAATCAAACTGTTGTTCTCGAGAGTTAGTCGTTAAAAGTTTATGAGCAGCCTCTGGTCCCCTGCATCAGGGACCTAGGGGTTCTCAGTGCATAGGATGGAGACCTGTCTCTAGGTGAGAGGGAGTGGAATCTGAGAAGGCCTTTGGAGTTTTCACCGGTGTTGAAAATGCTTCTGAGGGATTTCAGAGCAGTACAGAGGAGGCTGGGTGCAGTGGCTCACGCCCATAATCCCCGCACTTTGGGAGCCTGAGGTGGGCGGATCACTAGGTCAGGAGTTCAAGAGCAGCCTGGCCAACAGGCAGAGAGCAGCCTGTCTCTGCTAAAAATAAAAAATTAGCCGGGTGTGGTGTCGGGTGCCCATAATCCCAGCTACTCAGGAGGCTGAGGCACGAGAATTGCTTGAACCTGAGAGGCAGTGAGCAGAGATTATGCCACTGCACTCCAGCCTGGGAGACAGAGTGAGACTCCATCTCAGGAAAAAAAAAAAAAAAAAAAAAAAGAAGCACAGAGGATTCTGAGGAGGCCTCTCATGTTTTGTGTCTGAGATCTTGGGGCAGGGGCCTCTTACCTCGGTCCTGGGCCCCTAGCAGCCCAATTTCAGTGATCTCTCGACACCAGGTCTGCAGCTCAGTGTCACCTTTCACAGCCACGTCTGTCTTATAGTGGAGACTCACGATTCCTTCCACATACCTACCAGCCAATGGAGCAGGGCCAGGGAGCTGAAGCCAGCTCTGCCCCTGCCCACATGGCCAGGTCAGGGCCCCAGGCCTCCAATCAGGTGCAGACCTCCTGCCCTTCTAGACTTCCTCTCCACCCCCACTGGCACCCCCACTGGCCTTCCCGATGGCCTCACCGAGAGATGGTTTCCCAGAGCCGCAGGGCATCTTGGGCATAGAAGGAAGACTTCACTTCCAGGAGCCCCCGGTCAGCCAAGTCATCCGGGGGACAGAAGGAGCTATAGGTCAGAAAGGCTCCAGCTCGCTTGAGCAGCTCCAGGTGGCCTCCCCCACCGGTGCTTACCACCTGAGGATCGAGGATGAGCAGGGTCAGGCGAATGGACCTGCCCTGAGTCCAGAGCTGGAAAGAAGAGTGACCCAGAGTCTCCCTTTCTCTCCCCATACCTGATCGAAAACTCCCATGTCAGAGACCAGTCCAGTCCTGGCCCGGATGTTAATTTCCAGGGTGTATCGCAGGTGGGGAATTAGAAGCTAGAGGGAGAAAAGCAGGGAAGGGCAAAGTCAGAGGAGAGCCATGGCAGATCCCTGCAGGAAACAGGGGCTGGCAAGCAGGAAGGCACCAGGTCTTCAGAAAAGTCACAGACGCAAAGTTCAGTGGCCTCTCAATGGTGAGTTTTCAGAAGTACCATTTGGCCCAGCAATGCCATTACTGAATATATACCCCCTCCCCCCTCAAATACCAATGGCCCTACCACAAAGACACATGCTCATGTTTGTTCATCACAGCACTGCTCACAACAGCAAAGATATGGGATCAACCTCAATGCCCATCAACAATGACCGGGTAAAGAAAATGTGGTACATATACACTATGGAATACTACGCAGCCATGAAAAGAACAAAATCACGTTCTCTGCAGCAACATGGATGCTGCTGGATGCCTTCATCCTAAGTAGACTAACACAGGAACAGAAAGCCAAACATGGCATGTTCTTGCTTTTAAGTGAGAACTGAACATTGAGTACACATGGGCACAAAGGGATCAGCAGACACCTGAGTCTACTGGTGGGTGGAGGGTGGGAGGAGGGAGGGGATCCAAAAACTACCTATCAGTACCATGCTTATTACCTGGTGACAAAATAATCTGTACACCAAGCCCCTGTGACACACGTTTTTTTTTTGAGACAGAATCTCACTTTGTTGCCAGGCTGGAGGGCAGTGGCACCATCTTGGCTCACTGCAACCTACAGCTCCTGGATTCAAGCCATTCTCCTGCCTCAGTCTCCCGAGTAGCTGGGACTACAGGCGCATACCACCACACCCAGCTAATTTTTGTATTTTTAGTAGAGACAGGGTTTCATCATGTTGGCCAGGGTGGTCTCGATCTCCTGACCTTGTGATCTGCCCGCCTCAGCCTCCCAAAGTGCTGGGATTACAGGCATGAGCCACCGTGCCCAGATGACACACAATTTAGGTGTAGAACAAACCTGCACATGTACCCTTGGACCTAAAATTAAGTTAAAAATAAAGAAACAAAAATAAACCACTGAGTGTTCAGTTGATTGGCGTTGACTATCTGTGTTCCACAAACCAGCCTTAGTGCTTTATGATAATTGATAAAAATCATTCTCTCTCTCTCTCTGCCTTTTTTTTTTTTTTTTTTTTTTTTTGAGACGGAGTCTCACTCTGTTTCTCAGGCTGAAATGCCGTGGTGTGATCTCAGCTCGCTGCAACCTCCGCCTTCTGGGTTCCTGTCATTCTTGTGCCTCAGCTTCTGACTAGCGGGGCTTGCAGGCGGGAGCCACCATGCCCGGCCTCCTTGTTGTTTCATAGGTTTTCATAGGTCTAGACCAAAGGTTTTCAACTTGTTAAAAATAATCACCCTCTAAGCAGCCTTTTGAAATATTTTTTCCTAATCTCACCCCACCTCATGAAATATTCATGCTACATTTGACAAATATAGATATATAGATACCTATATTTGTCAAAGATATATAGATATCTATATTTGAGAAATATAGACATATTTGTCTATATATCTGGATAAAGCATTATATGTGTGCTTTATACAGATATATATCACATTATATCTATGCTGTATAAAAATAATAAAATTTGGGCTGGGTGCGGTGACTCATGCCTGCAATCCCAGCACTTTGGGACGCTGAGGTGGGTGGATCACGAGGTCAGGAGTTTGAGACCAGCCTGGCCAACATGGCAAAACCCCATCTCTATTAAAAATACAAAAATTAGCTAGGCATGGTGGCATGCACCTGTAATCCCAGTTACTCGGGATGCTGAGACAGGAGAACTGCTTGAACCCGGAGGCGGAGGTTGCAGTGAGCCAAGATGGCACCACTGCACTCCAGCCTGGGTGACAGAGTGAGACTCTGTCAAAAAAAAAACCAAACCAAACCAAAACAAAACAGATTAATGACTGGCTGGAAAAGTTCTTTTTAATGTTATTTGCATGGTTTCCTCCTGCTGGACGGAATCCTCGGTTATTTGCATGTACTGTGCTTTACCCATAAAAAGAGTAAGATTTTTTTTTGCCATTTTCCCCAAGAATCATTTCCCATTGTGGGGGGAGGTGATATCCCCTTTGAAAATACATGGTCAGACCTGATCTCTCTCTGCTGCTCTCACCTTGTCCATTCACTGGTTCTCTCCCTAACCTGAGACCTCACAGAAAGGGAGCCACCAGAGGCAGGAACATGCCCTGGGGCAGAGACAGCAGCAGCCAGGAGAGAAGGGAATGAGTTGTTACCTTGAAGACAGGATGTATTGATGGAAGGCACCTCATGGTGGCCACAGCAATGACCTCAGCCATCAAGTGTCCCCTCAGAAGATGAGACTGCAGCTCGTGGAGTTGGAAGTCAGAGCTGCGGACCCAGCATTTGGCCAGAAGCCAGACCATTGGAGGATCCGTGGGCAAGAAGAGCAGAGGTGGCGGGGTTCCTGTGCTGGGCAGTTGAAGCTGGAGCAGGGATGAGGTATGGGGAGAGAAGGCTTGAGTGCCAGGCACTCAGGGATCCCAGCCCCTCCTTGGCATGTTGAAGCTCGCCCTTCCTCCTGCAAACGTGTTTCCCTTTCCCCATCTGCCCACTGTGGCTCCCCACAGCCACCATTTCCCCCTCCCTTTCTACCTGGCTCACTCGCTGCATTGGCACTCTGCAAGCTGCTCTACCCCCAGCATTCTGCAGAAACTGCCCTTCTGGTGCCTCCTCCAGCCTCCACTTCCTCCTTCAGTCCCCACAGCAGTTAAGATTCAAACCGCCTGCTTCCTTCATCCCACACTCTTTTTTCCAAATCTCATCTTTTGGCTCCACCTCTGCACAAATGACTAAATCTCTAGTTCTGAGCTGTCTGCTGGATAATTTCAATGTCTCCCTTTAACTCAACATTGGCCAGACAAAAGCTCAGCAGAGCACCCTGCCCTCTTCATTTGTGCTATTTCTGCAGGCAGCTGGCCTGGCTTCCCTCTCCTCTCTCCTTGACCTCCCTCTGCACTCACATCCATCTGTCCTCTCCATCCCGACAGTCACTACCCACACCTGAGCTCCCCTCCCCCTGGGGCCAGCCCTGGAGCAAGTCGCCCTGGCCTCTCCCCTCTCCAGCCCATCCTACACAAGACAGCCCACACCGTGTGCCCTCAACGCACCCTCAGCACGTCTCAGCACAGCTTTCTCCAGCTTCCCACCTCAGACTCCTTATCTTGGCTTGGTCTGGCCCCAGTCCAACTGGTGCCTAGGAATCTCCTGACGCCCCTCCCTCAGCCTCTGCCCTGTCTGATTTGCCCCTGAGGACAGGTCCTTCCTCTCCCTCCTGCTGGCCTGACACCTGGCCCTCCTCCAAGGCCCGTGACCCCCACCTCCCCTGATCCCTCCTGGGCTGTCCTCTGTCCTCAGGGACTTCCTCAGTCCTGGAGCTTCTGCAGACTGGCTCAGTCTGTCTCCAGCTACAGTGCAAGGCTTCAGATTGGAGACTTGGCGCATTCCTCCCTCAGGCCTCCCCGGCGCCTTAGCCCAGCACCTTTGCAGATGGTGCTCAGTGCATCTCAATACGGGGCTGAGTGGAGATGGCTGGAGGCTGGGAGCAGAAATCTGGAGTCCTCTCACCTGGATGACCATGGGCAAGAGTTTCCCATCAGGCTGCAGTTTCAGCATGACCAGAGGTGCAGCCAGGTGCTGCTGACTACACAGAATGACATTGGCCTTGATCCCATCCAGCAGGGAGAAGTCAGCTTCAAACAGTGTGCCTCCCTGGGTGGGGAAGAGGCCAAGGGCTGCTATCAGCACAAGGTGTCTTCTTCCTACTCTGATTCCTCCAAGGGGGAAGAGAGAGAGGGGAGCAGACTCGTCTCCATCACCTACTTTGTACCAGGTGGTGGATCATGGGCTTGTTGCCACGTATCAGTTTTTTTGAGCCAGGGTCTTACTCTGCTGCTCAGGCTGGAGTGCAGTGACGGAATCGACATGGTTCATGGCAGCCTCCACTTCCGTGGGCCTAGGTGATCCTCCCACCTCAGCCTCCCAAGTAGCTGGGACTACAGGTGCGTGCCACCACACCAAAAACTATAGGCACTAATTTTAGTATTTTTGTAGAGACAGGGTTTCACCACATTGGCTAGGCTGGTCTCCAACTCCTGGGCTCAGGTGATGCTCCTGCCTCGGCCTCCCAAAGTGATGGGATTATATGTGCGAGCTACTGCATTCAGCCTTATCATTTTTACACATAGTTGAATGAGCCTTAATTTTACAGAAACAGATAATCAGGGAGGCTGGATACTTTGCCTGAGGTCACACAGCTTACAACAGCAGAACCAGGGTTCCATCCAAGCGGTTCTGCCCTGTAATCCCATGGACTTCCTCTCTGTTGCTCCATGTTGCCTCCTGATCAGCAGCCACAGCACTCGACCCTGGTTCTCTTACTCTGCACACTCCTTGAATCCCTAGCACCAAGGCCCAGTCACGTTTCTTCGTTTGACCCTGTTTCTGTCAAGCATTGCCCCTTGCACGCCCTCCCTCTGCAGCACGCTCCCCCCGTGTGGGAAGGAGGCCAAGCCGCGGAGAGTCTCTGGGAACCCTCAGGGCCTCTCCCGCAGAAGCCCTCCTTGCGGGCTGGCAACAAGTCAGGCCCACAGTGGGTCCCATAGCGGCATCATTGGCGCCAACCCATCCCACTGCACTGCTGAGCTCCTCTGGGCTCTGATGTCCATACCTCCAACTCCTTCTGCAGCTGGGCCTGCAGTTCCTCCATCCCTGGAGGGAACACAAGGCGAGCGGGAAGGCAACTGGAGCGCCTCAGCACCATGGGGTTGGCGCCATTAAGAAACTGGTACCCAAACAAGGCATCTTCCTTCCAGGAGTCCCGCACACGCTCTGGGGAAGGCAGTTGAGCAAGTTGTGGGATCTGAGCTCTTGGTCCTGCCCACCTCATCAGCCACGCCTCCTTGACCCAGCCCCCCTAGAGGGACCCAAGTCGCTTGTCTCCCCGCCCTGGTTCTTCCAATTCCCCTGGATTGGGTAGGATCTGGGGGTAAGGGTCCTGGGAGACGTATCGGGGTAGGGGCTGACCTGCCAGCTTGCTCTGGCCACACCAGAAAATCCGGTTGAAGTCATCCAGATCCTTCCAGCAAGTCAGAACGTTGAAAGTGTCTTTGATAGCGAGGTCCGCCAGCCTTCAGGGCAGATGGGCAAAGGGTTGGAGCGTGATTCTGAGACTCCAGCATTGCAGCCACAGGCACCCATCTTGGGTTAGTCCAGTGCAGTGCAGCCCATAAGCCCCTTGGCTTCCACTAGACCAGGTCACCTCCCTGTCACCCAGCCTCCCCTCGCTCTCACCCCTTGGCCAGCGAAGCCTCAAAGTCGACTCTCTTGTCTTCCAGAAATCGCTCATCCACAGGGAGGTCACTCAGTTTGGCCCCAGCCATATTCAGAATCAGCCCATCCTTCCAGCTTCCCCACCTGTGGGGCAGGGATGAAGTCAGGCCTGGGTGCTGGAGGCTTCAGCAGCTCCCGTGGGTGGGGGCAGGGCTCACCGGTACCGCTTCCTTCTCTCTTCCAGCTCCTCTTCCCGGAGCTTCCTGAACAGGCCTTGAGGGTCGTCGAACACAGTGCGGCCTAGAAGGACAGAGGAAGGCTTGGGGAGTCACTGCTTCTGAGAGCCTCTTCTGGTCCCTGTCAGGAGATCCTGTTCACCCCGTCCTTCCATGTGGCCCCTGCCCCTTCAGCACCATGCCCCTTCCCCAGCCTCCAGCCACTCTGTGCCCGCGGCATCATCCGCCCAGCTTCTCCGACACCCCAGAGGCCTCCTGACAGCCCAGCCCCGCTCTCACCGGTGCCTTCAGGCAGGCTCAGGACTCCGTCGCCCTCCACCCAGCGGTAACAAGGGAACCTGACTTCCTCCCCCGCGGCCCCGGGGCCCTGCACGGAGATCCAGCTGCAGAACCAGGCGTCGTCCTGGAGGAGGTGTCTTTTGCGCAGTTTCACGAACAGCAGCGGCCCCAGGTACTCGGGCACTTCCACCTTGACTTCCGTCACCTGCGAGCGGCAGCAGAGGCTCAGCCCCGCTGGGGGGGGGGGGGACTCGGCAGAACCCTGCGCCCTCCAAGCCCACGCACTTCCTGGGAGCCTCTGAGAAGGCGGCGAATGGAATGGAGAGAGAGAGAGAGAGAGAGAGAGAGAGAGAGAGAGAGAGAGAGAGAGAGACAGACAGGAGGGTGGGAGGCGGGGGGGGGGGGGCTGTTCGCGCCCCACCAGGTGTCCCCAGGACTGGGTTCTGAGGGGACGGGAGGGCGGCAGGTGGAAAGGTGCGCTCCTTCCTTTACTTCCTCCTCCCTGTGGTCACTGGCGGTGCCAAGCGCTGGGCTGGGCGCTGGGAACCCGGAGCCGCGTCCTGGGCGAGTGAGCGCTGTGGAGCTGGGACTCGCTAGCGGCAACTCCCGCTGTCCGAACCCCCCCTCCCCCCCGCCCCACTGAGGCCCTGCGGGAGCCCCACCGGCCTGGAGACAGTCTTCCCGGAGACCTGGAGGAGAGGGCTCAGCCAGCGAGAGTGAGAGCCAGGGCGGCAGGGGGAAGGCGTGCCGGGCAGGGACAGCGCAGAGGGGAAGGGCGGATCAGCATCTGGAGCTGGAGCTCAGAGCCCAGGTGTGGGGGGTCAGCAGGTCGGGAGGCTCTGGAAGGTGGCGCCGAGGGCTTCGGATTTGGTCCCGAGGACAAGGGGGAGCCATTCAAAGGCGTTAAGCAGCTGGAGTGAATTAGGGGAATCATTCTGGCTTCAGAAGGGCTTGGAAGGTCTGTGGCGGAGGTGGCCAGGACAATGGAAGGTTGAAATCCAGAAAGCGAGAGGACCCACGGCCGCTCCTGAGACCATTGAATTTGCAGGCGTGAGAGCTGCGTGGAATGAGGGGTGCTCAACAGCATCCCCTCAATTCCAAGGAGGTGAAGCAGCGGAAACATTTACTGAGTGTTTATTCTGCATCACCAGATGCCAACCCTCGGAAGGGAAAAAGGGAGGAAGGAGCTCGTCTTTCCGCCTTCCGTGCCCCATCCCCTCACCGTGGAGTTGCGGGGCCACCTGCTCTGTGCGCATTTTTTCTTTCTCTTTCTGGCTCCCTTCGCGCCGCTTTCACGGAAGCTCGGAGCAAGGGCGTGGGGGTGTGGGGAGCAGCGCTCAGCAGGTTCAAGGGGGGCGGGAGGTCCGGGGCGGGCGGATATGTGGCCGGGGCGCGGGAGATGCTCAGGGTCTAGAACTGACTGCGCCGCATTCTAGTTTACAGGGAGGTAAAGATGAAGGAGGCGCAGGTGACACCGGGGGAGGCAGGCGGAGATGGGAGGAGGGGCGGACTCATTTCCTCTGAAGTTCCCTGGGACAGGCATCCGGATTTGGGAACTGGGAGAAAGCTGGAGCAGTGACGAGAATTTAGGGTTGGCGGAAGAAAAACCTAACAGGACCCGGTAGGACCCCAGGTAGATATGAGATGAGATATAATGGGATGTGGGTCGGGAATCGAGACCGTCCTCCTGTTTGGGCTTCCCATCCCTTCCCCCTCACCACCCACCTCACCTCAGGCGAGAAAGCCGGGAAGGTCAGAGATCCCACAGCGCTAGCGGTTGAAACAGTTTTTTTTTTTTTTTTTTTTTTTTTTTTTTTCCCCGAGACAGAGTTTCGCTCTTGTTACCGAGGCTGGAGTGCAATGGCGCGATCTCGGCTCACCGCAACCTCAGCCTCCTGGGTTCAGGCAATTCTCCTGCCTCAGCCTCCTGAATAACTGGGATTACAGGCACACGCCACCATGCCCAGCTAATATTTTGTATTTTTAGTAGAGACGGGGTTTCACCATGTTGACCAGGATGGTATCGATCTCTTGATCTCATGATCCAGAGAAAGCGGTAGGAGAGACGGCCGCTCAGGGGACCGCTGAATTTCCAGACAAGGGAGCTCTGCGCAATGAGGGGCGCACAGGAGCATCCCCTCAATTCCAAGGAGATCGGGCAGCGGGAACAGTTACTGAGCGCTGTCTGCCCTAAAGCCTACATCCCCGCGGTCTCCGTGCGCTGTGAGAGCAGAGCGTGCGCCCTCGGAGGGGGGATCCGTCCGATGCCGGCTGGGGCGCGTCTCCCCCCACCACCGGGATTTGACTGACTCGGAGCCAGGGGCGCAGCCCTCCTGGCCAGATTTCTCTGGGGAGCTCACCTTGCCCCGTGCAGGCCGCAGTCGCGTCCCGAGCGCCGCCTCCCCGTGCTGGCCGACCAGCCACAGTTGCACCTGGTTGTTGGAGCCCGCACAGAGCGAGGCCCCAGTGGACACGCGGACGCGGTAGAGACCCATCTTGCTCAAACACGTTTCGATCCTTGTGGTGGGGAAGAAGGGTGGACGAGCTAAATAACCAGGCCTGAGACCCCGCCCTCTCGGAGGTCGCTTGCGGTTGGAATGTGGGTGGCAGGCCTCCAACCAACCCCGCCTACGCTGAGGCCCCCACCTCCAAGGCGCAGAGTTCAGCCCCAGTCTCAAAGGCGGTGTCCTGGCGGGAGCAGGGACTGGAATCCACTATCTTGATGGGAGGGAGAAGTAGAAAAAGATTTGGACAGAAAACACGCAGGAGGAAGGAATCAACGCCGGGTACAGCAGGCAGGCGAGGTGGGGTAGGAGCCATGCGCTCGTGCACCAGGGAGCTTGGGGGAAGCCTGGATGGCTGGGAAGCCACCTCCATCTGAACACACACGTGCACACGCACGCACGCAGGCCTCACAAGTCGGATTGCCGCAGAGGGTGAAGTGGACGAGGAGACCCAGTCTGCAGTGGCATTTGAGGACGCTGCATTGAGGCCACCGAATTCATTCAACCCGTGTTGCGCACTTGCCTTCTCTGTGCCAGCCACTAGGACTCATTCCTTTTGAGCCTAAAAGCCTCTGCCTCCCTGTTACCTGCAGAATAAGAGTCCAGATGTTTCTGGCATTCAGTAGCCTGACCAGCCCTCCTCACCTCTCATCCCACTGCACCCTGGCATCTCCTGTGCTCCACTCTGGGCTGGAGCCACGTGCTCCCTGGAACCCATCCTGCTATTCTCTCAAAGAACCTTCTCTTGGATTAGTCTATTCATGCTTCTAAAGCCGAATTCCACTCCAATTTCTCAGGGAGGTCTTGCTTGGTATCCCTCCCACCTACCGGAGCGAATTTCTACCGGGAGAAAGCTTTCCTTTCTCCCGCTCTCGCCTTGTGCACACTTCTATTGTTGCACACTGAATCCTGCAGTGCCGGCATGTGTTTGTATGTTTCTCCCACTAATGCGAGCCCATCCTAGGCAGGGGCTGGACACCCAGCATGACTCACTTTTGTTCTCTTGGAGTTAGCATAGTGTCAGGGCTTGTGGGCATCAGTAAGTGTTTGCTGAAACACTGAGCTGAGAAATTCATTATAAATGAATCCTTCCCTTGAGGGAGACAAAGGGAAACAAATAACTGTCAGGCAATGTAAACAATAAGGGAATAGTGACATCAACTCCAGGCATGGATTACCATCAGCCTGGAAACACCAATGAAGTCCATGAAAACACGTTTGTCATGCTTAGTTTCTGGTTTGCTTAATTGTTGGTTTTGCTCCTTCGTTTTATTTTATTTTATCATAAAGTTTAATAATGGTTCAGAAAAATTGAGTGAATAACTTTCTCTGAAAAAATATATTGACTTTGTATAGACCGCAGTTATTGGGGGGAGGGGCTGGTAGGTTAAATTACCCTACTTTCTATTCTGAAAATGATATTCCTAGAAAGTCCCGTTTCCAGTCTGAGTATAAAGATACATGTACCCAAAATGGCTGAGAATAAATACAACAGGAAATGCAAAAGCTGTAAAGCTAAGGGCATGCAAGAGAAAATCTCAGAAGTACCCAAAATGGTGACAAGGAATATTTGGCTGGAATTCGAGTTCTTTCTGTCATCTTTGTCTTTTGCTCCATGTTTCAGGATGTGTGTGAATTCAATGGAATTGAAATTCCCCTTTTTGTCCATAGGTGTTTTCTGTACAGCTCATCCACGTCCTCATCCATAAACTGATCGCCCATGGTTGTCAGCAGCTCTCTCAGGTAACCTTCACAAATGGTGCCAGTGGCTTCTTCATTAAGGCAAGCAAAAGCATTTCTAATGACATCTTCAGGATCTGTGCCATTCAACTTCCCACCAAGCATGGTGAGGAACATGGTGAAACTGATGGGCCCTGGAGCCTCATTCCTCCAGGGAGGAATCCACATACTCATCAGTTGGATTCTTCCCCAACGAAGCAAGCAGAGCGTGCAAATCTTCCTTGTCTGTGAAACCATCTCTGTTCCAATCAGTCATGTTAAAGGCCTCTTTGAACTCCTGAATCTGTGACTGGTCAAATGTAGCAAACACACTGGATGCTGTGCGCTGAGGGAGCTTCTTAGGGGTCTTGGTCTTTGCTCTTTTGCCTCGCTCTTTCACCCAGGCTGGAGTGCAGTGGTGTGATCTTGGCTCACTGCACCCTCCGCTTCTCAGGTTCAAGTGATTCTCCTGCCTCAGGCTCCTGAGTAGCTGGGATTACAGGCACACACCAGCACACCCAGCTAGTTTGTGTTTTTAGTAGAAATGAGGTTTCACCAAACATGGCCAGACTGGTCTCGAACTCCTGACCTCAAGTGATCCGCCCACCTCGGCCTCCCACAGTGCTGGAATTACAGGCATGAGCCCCCGGACCTGGCCCTCCTTAGTTGTTTAGTGGAAAGTACATTCACATGATTCAAAATTCAAAAGGTACAAAGTGATATTCATTAGTTTCTCCCTCCTGACCCCAAGCCCCCCAGTTTCGACACTTCCAGCAATCACTGTCAGCAGTCTCCTCTGTGCGCTAATATTACTGAGCAAATACACGCCTATCCTTTTTGTCTTTTTCCTGCACGCATTGTAGCACACCTTATTCTGCATCTGGTTTTTTCACAGTGTAACAGGAGTTCATTCCATGTTTAGACACAAAGAGCTTCCTTGTTCTCCGGTAAGGGTGCCATTGTTTTGCTGTAACATGATAAATTCTACTAGTCACTCTCTCTCTCTCTCTCTCTCTTGAACTCCTGACCTCAGGTGATCCACCTGCCTCAGCCTCCCAAAGTGCTAGGATTACAGGCATGAGCCACCACACCTGGACAAGTTCTGCTAGTCTCTTGTAGTGGACACAGGTTGTTAGCAATCTTTGGTAGCTATGAAAAAGTGCTAGGCTAGGGGCAGTGGCTTACGCCTGTAACCCCAGCACTCTGGGAAGCCGAGGCCAGTGGATCACCTGAGGTCGGGAGTTGGAGACCAGCCTGACCAACATGGAGAAACCTTGTCTCTACTAAAAATACACACATACACAAATTAGCCATCCATGGTGACCCATGCCTGTAATCCCAGCTACTCGGGAGGCTGAGGCAGAAGAATCACTTGAATCCAGGAGCCAAGATGGCACCATTGCCCTCCAGCTGGGGCAACACGAGTGAAACTCTACTTCAAAAAAAAAAAGTGCTGAAAGAAATAACCCTTGTACATATACCATTTCTCATATAAAAGTGTATCTGTGGAACAAAATCCTAGAGATGGAATTTCTGGACCAAAAGCATATCTAATTTCGGCAGAAATTGCTAATTTGCCCTCCATAGAAAGTTGTACCGATTTACACTCCACCAGTGGGCTATATGTGAGAACGCCTGTCCTTCCTCACTCTTGCCAGTGGTGTGTTAATAACCATTATTACCTTAGCCAATCAGATGGGTGAAAAATGGCATTCTAGTTTTAATTTTAATTTGCATTTCCCTTATTATGAGTAAAGTTAAGAATTATTTTTTATAGTACTTTCAGTTCTGGGATACGTGTACAGATCTTGCAGGATTGTTGCATAGGGACACACATGCCGTGGTGGTGTTTCCAATAGCATCTTTTTATATTGGAGGGGCAATTTGTACTTCCTTGTGTGTGAGCTGGCTATTCCATTTTTCTATTGAATTTTGGGCTTTTTCCCTTTCTTTCTTTCTTTCTTTCTTTCTTTCTTTCTTTCTTTCTTTCTTTCTTTCTTTTCTTTCTTTCTTTCTTTCCTCTTTCTTTCTTTTACAGGGTCCCACCATGTCACTGGACTGCAGTAGTGCAATCATAGCTCACTGCAACCTCTAACTCCTGGGTTCAAGTGATCCTCCTACCTCAGCCTCCCACGTAGCTGGGACTACAGATGTATGCCACCATGCCCAGCTCATTTTCTTAATGTTTGGTAGAGATGGGGTCTGGCTATGTTGCACCAGCTGGTCTCAAACTCCTCAACTCAAGCAATCCTCCTGCCTCAGCCTCCCAAAGCACTGGGATTACAGGCCTGAGCCACCACACCCAGCCTTGGTCTTTTTCTTATTAATTTCTAGGAACTATTTATATATTGGGAATATTAGCTTTCTTTCAGCTCAATTACTACTAAGAGGGGCCCAGTAACAACAATGTCCTTTTCACATCAGCTCCTTAGAGCCTAGATTTTGGCCTATAATATAATTCTCCACTGAAAGAAACCTGGAGCCTTGGAGGGTAGCTGATTTTGTGTTTGGGGTTAGGGTAAAACACATGATAAGCTTGGGAATACTGATGTTGCTAAAACGTAAGGGTGTTGCCGTAGCAGAATCTTACTAGAAAAAGATAGCTCTTTGAGGCCAGGCACAGTGGCACACGCCTGTAATCCCAGCACTTTGGGAGGCTGAGGCGGGAAGACCCCAAGGTCAGGAGTTCAAGAATAGCCTGATCAACATGGTGAAACTCCCCTCTACTAAAATTACAAAAATTAGCCAAGTTTGGTGGCGTTCACCTGTAATCCCAGCTACTCAGGAGGCTGAGACAAAAGAATCGCTTGAACCCGGTAGGTGAAGGTTGCAGTGAGCTGAGATCCACCGCACTCCAGCCTGGGTGACAGAGTGAGACAGTGTAAAAAAAAAAAAAAAGAGAAAGAAAGAAAGAGAAAGAAAGAAAGAAAGAAAGAAAGAAAGAAAGAAAGAAAGAAAGAAAGAAAGAAAGAAAAAGGATGGCTCTTTGAGAGAAACAACAAGCTTCAGAGCCCCAACCAGGTAGCAGTCTGCTGAGACGTCCAAGTCAGTAGCCTTGGTTGATCTGAAGATTGAGGATATTACACAATTTGGGCACGGGTAGGGTCTGATAAGATTTCAGTAACACAAGGAAACAAAAGAAATTTTTTAGCAAATTAGAAAATATTGCACACCTAGAAAAAATCACAAACAAGTAAAAACCAGTGAAGCAATAAATTAAATCCAGGATGCTGGTTTTTTTTAAATAGATTTAAGGATAATTACAGTAAGTCTTGTAATCACTGCATTTATGTTTACTTTGTGTAATGTTTAGAGTGTATTCAAAAGAGGCCAGGCACAGTGGCTCACACCTGTAATCCCAGCATTTTGGGAAACCCAGGTGGGCGGGTCACCCGAGGTCAGGAGTTCCAGATTAGCCTGGCCAACATGGTGAAACC